ATAATTAAAAATTACTCTTATATATATTATTAAATACTGTTATTTGTTATATATATATATATATATATATATACAAAATATATATATATACACACACACATATAAATAACAATATATATTTAATTTTGATTTGAAAATTTACCTGTGAATATTCTAGAATAGTATCTACACGGGTCCATGCATTTGGATGCTCTTTAAGTGTAGTTAATACTTCCTGTGCAACTCTCTGTTGCTCACCTATTCCAGTGTACATACAACCTACTATATTATCAAGAAGTGTTATATCTAACTTCTGATTAAAATCCAGAAGCTTAGATGCTTGTTCTGCTAAAGTTGCCATTATTTATTGTAAATTATCCAATTTTCATACACCCTATCTGAAAATAATCGTATTAAATATTAATATTTATGTCATTAAAATTATATAATTAATATATGAATAAGATATAAATATTACAAAGTTTTATGTTTTTAAAAAAGAAGATTAATTAAATATTTTAAAAATTCATAATTAATTAAAGTCTTCATTCGAATACAATATTATAAAACAATTTTAGGATTAAAAATATGGATAAAAAACATAAATAACATTACAATACAATATTTACAATTAATAAATAAATATAAAAAAACAGTATATTTTTACACAGTGCATTGTTTAATTATTTTAACACAAAATTTATTATAGTGTAATATTTTATAAATAAAAATTTTAAAAGTTTATAAAAGGATACTAGTATCAAGTAATATTGTTTTGTGCTTCTCTCTATATGAAGAAGATTATATATTATATTTATATTTAAATTAAAGACATTAAAAGAAAAGAATATGATATAAATAATGAACTAAACAGAGGTAATAATAAAAAGGAAATCATTGTTAACGTGTAGCGAGGGAGGTCACCGCACTGCGACCGCTCGACCTAACCTACATTTGACAATCGCAAATAAGGTTATGTGAAAATTTATTGTGCGTAATGTTTATAAATCTAATGTAAAAAGTATTTCATTTAATACATTTAATCAAATAAAAAAAAAGATGATGAAACTATAAAATATTAATAATAGGTCATTGGAATCTGTAGATTTTTGTTATCCGGGTGCACTTTACTCATTGCGTCGTTGTTCAACGAATAAAGCATCATAAACGACGTTTACACATACCGCATCAACTCCCACACGCAGATTCTCAATTCGTAGGTAAAAAACACACGTTTCACACTAGCAATCACAATCTCTCGTAGTAAATCACAATCAGAAAAAGGCCAAACACACAACCGCTGATTCCCGCGCGCGACCAATTTCGTTCCTCGTTTCACAGACTCGCTGTTCCTCACCGTCTCTTTCTCTCTCTATCTCTCGCACGTTCTCTCGCTCGTCACTCCTGCCTCTGCTCCGTTTGCGACGATCGTCAGTGAAGAGAGTTCCACTCATAAATGTACGATACCCACCGAGGCCGTTCTTCGTCGTAACTTTGTTTCTTAAATCTCATACAAGTTTCTTCTATTTCCCTTCAATTGTAATGATAAACGAAAAAAGTAGAAGCTTTACGTTGTCCTTAAATCCAACCTACAGATTTTCGAAAATAATAACAAAATGGCTGAACACGTTACGCGGACCATTGCGGAGAAACGAACATTTTCATTGGTCTCAACAATCTGTTTTGTCCAATCAGAAAAACTCTAGCGACTGTTTCTAAACGTCACAAATTACGTCACGTGATGTCATGCAACACGTGTTCTCCATTTTGACTTAAAATTTCGTATGAATAACGTTTCGTATATATAGGTATTGCGTATCTACATTTTATTTTTTTAAATAAAGTTGATAATTTATGTAGATGTTTACATATTTTTCGTTTTTTAATATCCATAATACATTATTAATGCAATAAGACTGGTGATGTTAACGAATGTTTATTTGTTACGAAATGTAAAGTTTTAGACGAAGAATCTCTGCGATTACTATCCTACTTGCAAGCATATGACAGTTTGTGATTTATTATCTTATTCTAAAATATCCTTATTAGAATTTCAATAGTTTAATCAACTGAATAATATTTACAACTTTAAAGTAAAGAAAATTTGAAATTATTCGAAATAAATATATTAATTCAATTGATCAAATATGTCTTGTCAAATAAAAGGAATTGCGAATCTAACCAATATAAGCAATATTAAAGAGTTACTTTTTGGAGAATCTACCAGAAGACGTATGTTATTATTTCTTTTGTTTTGTTATTTAAAGAAATAATAAATTTCAATATGTATATTTTCCAGTTGACATTCCACAAGATGAATTACCATTACAAGACTGTTTTATATCATTGTCCTCAACTGGAGATGTTCTTGCTATGGCATATAATACAAAAATGATTATATTAATTTGTATGTATTATATTATTTATATATATTTATTTATTTAATTTTAAATAATATATAATTATTTTATAATATAATACCTAATTTATTTAAAAATGATAAAATGGTAAATATAATAAAATATATAATATCATCATATCAAATTTAGAATTTTAACTATAAAATTTTTATGTATGTTTAATTTTTAAAATAATTATTTGATATTAGCAAAGTGGGATTCATTAGAACCAGATGAGGCAAAAAATAAATTTCATATGATATGGTATGGTGAAATTGCCAAAGAAGTTAAGTAAGTTTTTATTAATAATATTAATAATATTATGTTAAATCATATATTTTTTTATTATTATAAATTTTGTTGAAAATATGTCCATATATTGAAAGTGTTTTTTAGTGAATGGATAACATCTGTAATTTGTTTACCTTTATTATCATTGGGAAAAGCTAGTAGTGGTACTAATCCAGATTGGACATGTATTATTGTTGGTTTTAATACTGGTTTTATTAGGTTTTATACAGAAGTAAGTTATTACTTAAGTTAAGTAAATTATTACATTATTAATGGCTTAATTTATAATAATTTATTTATAATAATGTTTATTTATAATTATGAATTAAAAAATTTAATATAAATGTGTTTATATTATAATATATTAATATAAATTGTTTTTGATTTAGACAGGTGCATTATTATTAGGAGAACAATTACATAATGAGCCGGTTGTAGGATTAAAATGTCAATCTTTTCGTTCACCTAAACACACAGGTGATACTGGATTATCTGAAGAAGTTCACGTAACATATAATAGTGTTGTATGTGTATTACAAGGTTTTCCTTTATTTTCTACATTACGAGCATGTAGAAATCATTTAGCTAGAGGTACAAAAATTAATTAATTTATATTATAAAAATGTGCTACAAAAATTATACAATATTTATAATAATATATACTTTTATTATAGTTCAAGCAAACTGTGATGATCTACCACCTATAACAAATCTGTCATATAAGAAATGGGGTTATAAAAGTCAAGATATTGTAAATGATTCAGAAGTAATTGGTACCACTTCTGTAAATAGTTTTGATCATTTAATGACAGCTTCAATTTGTGGTGGATATAATGCATCTTATAGATCTAGTGCACCACAACATAATTTAGTTCTTGCAACTGGCAAACGACCATTTGTTGGTTTTCATTATGCACTAGAAGGTGGTTCAGTTCCAGTTTTATCAGATGTTGCAATAGCAATGGCCAGCAAATTAGCAAATGCTATTGGAACTGCTGTTCCGTGAGTGTTGCATAATAAATGTTATGCATTTATTGTCAAAGGATATGTTACCTGTAAGAGAACTAAATTAAAGTGCAATTAAATTACATTAATTGAATAATACCACATATAATTTTTTAATAATTTAAATTGATATTCATTATATGTACATATAAAAATTTTATAGTTGTTGTACTCTATTTTATATATTCTTATTTTTTTTTTTTTTTTTTTCTTTTTTTTTTTAGTTGGTTTCCTCTTAATTGGGGAAATTCAAAACATCAAACATCCCTTGAAGTATCAAAAACAAATACTCATGAACCAATTGAACCAATGACTTGTAGATTTGGACTAAGCGATGTTACAAGAGAGGGTTATTCAATAATATCCAGTCCAAATAAAGCATTATCAGTAATATTAGATGCAATGGGTAGAGTGTTATTAATAGATAACAAATGTTGTATAGCTATCAGAATGTGGAAAGGTTATAGAGATGCACAATGTGGTTGGATTGAAGTGGAAGAAGAAAAACATTCTGGAATGCACAAAGCATTTATTAAATTTAAACAAACTCCACAGTTGCGTTCTGCTTTTTTTTTAGTCATTTATGCTCCAAAAAAGGGAATAATAGATATATGGAGTACACAACAAGGTCCTAAAATTACTACATTTACTGCTAGTAAACATGGTCGGTGAGTAACGATTTTATTTTAAAAAAATTAAAATTATTATTTTAAATAAATATTATTATGCAGATTGCTTTATATTAATTATGGTCTTCTTGGTGTAAATGATAATGTACACATATCAAAAAATAAACCACAATATTCATGTGTTTTTATGGATCCTCTTGGAGGATTGAAAGAAATTACAGTACCATTTCATTTTGCTCTTAATAGTAAAAATGGAAAAAGAGCACGTGATATACATTTGCTTAAAAAATTAAAAACTTTTTTACGAGAAGAAGAATTTGAATATGAGAAATTAATTTCAGAAATTGAGAATGTATGTTCAGATTTAAAAACTAATGAAATAAAAGTGCAAACATTAGAAATGTTAATGTCAAATAAAAATATTATTCCTGATGCTTTGTTAACAGCTACAAATTGTTTTACTAAAAAATTAGATGAATATGGTATATGCATATTTATATATTTATTATATATATATATATAATTTATGAAAATGAATTTTATTTGAAATAATATATAAATTTTATATTATAGACAAAGAAGAAATGGAACCTACTACCAAAACGCTTTATTTATTAACAACACAATTGCAACAAATAATCACTTTTTATAAATATATTGAATCTCAGTTTAATACATTGGAAAATAATACTTCTATAGATTATAATAATAGTAATCTTAATACAAGAAGTTTAGCTTCCACATTATTAACTTCTGAAAGAGAAATGCATAGAATTTTTGAATTGTTTAATAAAATAAATAGTTATAAGAATTCGGTTTTTAACTCAGAATGTAAAGTAAAGTTTAAAGAGGATGGAAAAATTTTTTCAGATTTTTTATCTTGTTTTGAGTTTGGAACATTAGGATTTATAAATGTTAAAAAAGATATAGAGACAGAAAAAGAAGATGATATTTGTAAGTATTTTGATATACAATTTTAAAAATATACATTATTAAATATTTTTTTCGATATTTTTAGCTCGATTAATGTATGAAGGATGTATACATTCATCTGATAAAATTGAAATATGGAAAGAAGCTGCTAAGAATAGTAATATTGAACCATTTGTTTTTATAAAATTTGCTTTAATTTATTGGCTTAAACAACAAAATTCATGTTTGGAAGTAGAATTAAAATTTAAAATGAAACAATTTACGCAACTCTTACATGTTATTTGTTCTATAGCTGGTAAATATCAAATATATTTTTAATATTTCAATTTTTATTTTAATATATCAATTTTATTTTTTGTAGATGTTAAAGATATATGTGCAGAATATAATGAAATATCTTTGTGGTGGAAAAAGGTTCGTAATATTCTTTTGGATTCAACAAATTCATTTAATGCGCTTAGTGCTGCTTTGATGTGCAGAGCTGTTGCAATGTCTATAGAAAAATATAAAGAAAAATATGATACTAAAGTTGAAGAGAATAATGATCAAGAAGGGAAAGATATAAAAAGTGAGAATGATTCAGAAAAAATAAAGCAACAACAAAATTATATTAACAATGTGAAATCAGATGATGAAGTGTATAATTTAACAAATGAATGGGAAAATGTTACTAAAGATAGTTGTCAATTTACACTACTTATTGGAAATCTTGAAGACATCACGATTTTAGATGCTATTGTAAGGTAATTAGTGATGAAATTTATTTTTTATAAAATTTTTATACAATTTTTATTTCAGTCAACAACCTCCATTGGATACTACATTACAATTTTTTGCATTACCATTTGTAAAATTCGATATTTCTTTGGGATCTGTTCTCTCAAAAGGAAAAGGTTACATATTCATATAATATAACTTTTATTTTATGTAATATTATATAATAATAATATTTTATAACTAGGTTCTGTGTCAGAAATAATTGCAAAATGGATTGCATCCACGGGTATCGATCCTTCTAAATTAATAGATACATCGGATACAGAATTTGATCACATGCAGACAAAAAATGATTTTTTAGAAGTATCAAATTCTTCAGACGAAATTTGTAATGTCGATAATGTTTCACAATTTGATTTAGAGAAGCCCATTTCAATATCTTCTGATATAAAAAATGAAGATAAAGATAATATAAATAGTACTGTATGTATTTTAGGTAAATGATAATAATATCTTCTTATTGTCAATTCCTAATTATTTTTTAAACATTAGATTATATTAAAGTTTTTTTATTTTTAATTTTCAGAAAAAATTAAATTATTAAAACGTCATTTTCCATATAGTTTAACAAGTAGT